CAAGCATCCACCAGGTTCAGGGGGAGGGGAGGGGAGGGGAAGGGGAGGGGGAGGGGAGGGGCAGGGGAGGGGGAGGAGTGGATCTAAGAATACCTCGTCGATGCCATCACCGCGATTGTTGCAAATCTTGACAGATCCAGACAACAAGGGGATAGATATACTGTACAGTATATTGGATTCTTTCATCTGCCTCTCAGTGGAATGACATTCATTAAGGCCCTCTCCCGGTTGGATCCTTGCCTAAATCCCTGCCTCTGACAGGTCCTTCTGCCCCGTCTGGCACGCAGACAGACAGGCACACGCGCCGGGCGAAAGCGTGCAAGTGTAAGCGTGCGAAAGCGGGAAAATGAGGATCAGACGTGGCAGATGAGAGGAGAGGGATGAAGACCGGGATGAAGACCGGGATGAAGGCCGGGATGAATCCGCATCCGAAGAGAGGCTGCTGCCGGCGTCTTCGGATCAGCGAAGACAATGCCCGTTTCCTTCTTCTCGGAGTCGTCCTCATCATTTATCTTCTCTCCGGGGCTCTCTTGTTCCAATTCCTGGAACAGGACGAGGAGGTGCGCATGAGGAAGCGATACTGGGAGGCCTACGATCACTTTCTCTGTGAGTGTCCAACCTTTCGTCGCAACCATTAATCGTGGCATAGTTACGCTTTGAGATAAATTTTAGGTCAATTGTTACCCTTCCGTTTGCGGAAGACTTTCATGTAGCGCCTTTTTTTTTACGATCGTAAAGACTGTAAGACGAGCTGTCGCATCTCCGACTGACTGTTTTAGCATCGCACGCGCACCGAGACGCGAAATAATCATTAGGGCGCGACTGGGATTCTCTTCTGCATGCAGCCCGATTCGAGCAAAATCAGGCGAGCATGTCGGACGTGGAGGTCCTGATGGAGGCATACAGTCAGGCGAAGGTGAGCGGGATGCTGAACGGCACCCGGCCGAGGTGGGACTTCCTGGGGTCCTTCCACTTCGTCGCCACCATCGTCTCTACCATCGGTGAGCGCTTCGTCGCGTTTTGTCGCGTTTTGTCGGGGGAGGGGGGGACGTTGGGTTATGGGGGGGGGGGGGAGAAGGTGGCGGTGGAATGGGACGATTTCCATTTAGGCTAGTCTCTCGTGGCCTCTACTTTGCATAAATGGGAGAAAATACACCCTTTCTTGTCTCTTAAAATCCGATCGAACAAAGGAGAAGAAAAAAAAACAGGAAGGAAGCAGTTGGCAGCGTGTGACGTTTTGCAGGGGCTCCTGGATGATGGATCGGTCCGATTATGTAAACGCACGCTGACGAGTCATATACATCCCTAGATTCCGAGACGACCGGGAATACTTTGTCATGATGGAGTGGGAAAAACTGGCGAATATCTCTCTATCACGTTCTATCCTTAGGCTTTGTTTTGGAAGGCGAATATATCGTGTGCATCGTTACCGGATTTATTAGGATGATGAAAGCTCTGAAACTTAGCCAAGCAGGATTTCATGTTTCCCGATCTGATTTTCCACTTTTCGAGACGACATTTCTCGCCCCCGTCTGCCTGGAAATGTCATTATGCAGATTACACGGGACTATTTAGCATTTATGCTTCAAAGCACTGTCGACTCCCCCATATCTCAGACACCGAACCAGGCTCGAACTAAATATTCATAAAAGCCTCGACCTAATGAATGGTTTCGACATCCGCTCCATTGCCCCTTCAGTTGCCATCCCCGCGTGAACGATGGCCGACTTCCGTGCCTGCGAAATAACTCCAGCCCTCCATGCAAAGGAAGCGGAGGGAAAAGAAAGAGGAATCGGATGTCGTGCCTCATTCTTCATTCAGACTCGGTCCGTGACGCTTCTCTTCGCTCACGCGAGGCTTCATTTTTTCACGATCGGACTCTCGTGACGTCAGTGTCGTTACACGGTGACGTATCCTTCGTGTCTTCGGTTGTCTCTTTCAGACGGTTTTCTCACACTGTGTCGTCATTCCCACTCTCGATCGTCGTGGTGCCAATCGATGACATATCCATTACTGGAGACGTATTCATTCATTCTTTTTTTTTTAAGGCCCCGAGTGACTCCAGCCGCAGAAGAAAGGAAAACGAGAGGGAAAAGTTTTGGAGTGTGCCATCGGTTTCTGAAGAGAAATTTGCATAATAATGGGTCGCGTGTCACTTACAGAGGAAGCCCCCCACTTCCCCCTATGGCAAGAAGAAAATATTAAACGTTGATAGCAGGAGATTTTGGCTCGACGGGGATCCCCTTTCGAGCTGTCATTAATTCAATGAACGAACGTTGATGAAGTGGCACGTCGTGAAAACTCGGGGAAAAAAAACGGCAAGAGACGAATCGGTGCTTGCCGAGGGAAAAGAAATCTGGTCTCGAGAAACCTCGGAGGCATTTGATGAATGACTCCACCTCGTGATGAATGGAAGCAAGGACCTTGGAAATGGCCTTTCCGTGTCCTTTTCTATTTTCGATCGCGATGCCCATTGAAATGCTTTTCCTGCAGAGAAATCGACGGCGCCGATATCGAGACGCTGGACCTTGTGAGAAATCGGCTCCGATATTGCACTTGTGACCGTGTTTGCTCCGAGAGGTCATTTCCAGGGTGATTTTTCTTGTTTGCCGGCTGTAAGAGGATTCATGTCTGCCTTTCTGATAGCGTGCAAACACTGCCTCTAATAGGAAAGAGTCGAGATTCTCTCCAGTCGTTCAAAGAGGGCAAGGAATTTTCATCACGACCCGGCCCCGCCCCGCGTCCGTCGAAGATGCGAATTTTCATCTGGATTCGTGGAAGCTGCGATAGAACGACGCAGGTCGTGCCCATCCGAGGCGAAGACGACGTATCTGCAAAACAAAGAAATAAATTAGGGAAATGGAATCGCATTGCCTCGACTGGTGCGAATAGAAGTGCATCAACGCATAAAATTCCATTAAGACCGAGGTATTAAGGCCGACCCTGGCACAGCTCCGCGAACGAGAGATTCCGCGTGCCCCTTCCTCAAACGCGATAAGACGGAAATGAGGCGTCGCCGCCATCTGTCATGATTACAAGACTTGTGAGAGTCGGAGAGATTATTAAGGTTAATGGAGAAAGCGAGAGGAATGTCATTCGCGGTGCATCTGCGGCCTGGTTTCATGCCAGTATCCGGCCCGGTATCATGCCAGCATCCAGCCCGGTATCATGCCAGCATCCAGCCCGACGAGTTCAAAAACGTAAACGAGAACAAGGCCGAGGACGCTTGATCCCCATAATTTAATTTTCTCGGACCCTCGCCGATGCGTCTGGGCAACGTCGGCCGAACCCTTTATCTGTAGGGCCGACGTTGTCCGGAGATGATGAACCGTGCATGGCTGGCAGTCGGCCAAATGCTCCATCTTGCTCCAACTCGTGGGCGAAATCCAAATCCGGATTTTCGAGCCAAGTTTCGCACTCGAAATCCCGACGATTCTCGTCGTCTCTCGCGGAAGAAATCTCGGATGAGGAATTGATTATGGAGAGTCGCATCATTTGACACTCTGTCGGGATCGTCGCGTCGTTTCCCTCGAGAAATTTATTATTCATCATCCCTAACGATTCGCGTGAAAAATGGGATTGTCGTTTCTGAATTCGCTTTAGATTCATTTGATGCGATTCCATTCCGAGATTGAAATCAATTCATCAAATGAGAATTCTGCTTATCCCATTCGGATCCTTAAGGTCAAAAGGCATCGACATGGTTCAAATCTCATTGCAATTTTCGCAGTTATTTGTGCAAGCGACGTTTTGCACAAGGGATTTGACGAAAACCGACCGCGCGTTGGCACAAATGTCGGGAAATTGGCGAGTGGTATATTGGCGACGGGAGCAGGTTAGACCGAGCTTCGATTTCGTTCGAATTTCCGCATTTTTTGCCGAAGGTCTTTTCGAAGGTCTTTTCGAAGATGGCTCCCCTCGCTCCCCTGTTCGAGACAGTTCATCCATCGATGCATTTTAGCATTAATAATGAATACCCACTCTCGTGCTCCGCCCACTATTGAACGGCGATGTTCCTCAAAATACTCGCGGAAAAGTATCTAAGATACTTAATTAAAAACATTTAAAAAAAATCGCTGTCGCAATTACTGCAAAGCTTGCAGCATTCATCATCGACATCTCGTCGTCATCGAAACGCCTCGAAAGTTTCGGAGCATCTTCGCAAAGAAGCGAATGAGATAAAACTTGACGCAAACACTTGAGGTAAAAACTTTGATACTGCTACCTTGCGTCCAGTAACTCGAGTGACCGTCGGTTGAAGCAATTAAGAAGCTCGGACTCGAAATTAGTCGGAAATAGAAATTGACTCTGGCACTAGAAAGGCCGACTGGTAACTCATGGTAACTCATGGTAACTGAGTGGTAATTCATCTCGAAATTGTCAGGTCATTTGTAAAGCGTGTTTCACCGAGTGGGAAATCTGCCAAGACATTCGTTTGGATGCGGTTCAATTTTTTATGAATAATCTCTGTGCAGATGATCGAGTTTCTATCGAAGTTGTTGTATTGCAAGTTTTTTTTTATTTACTATGTCCGACTGTGTAGACCGATGACTGATGGGACCCATTAGTCGCGGATACGCAAATCTTCCACTAATGATGTCGTTACCGTCGATGTTCCTCCGTCATCGAGATACGTGTCAGCTCACAATTCTCAGCTCATTGCTTTCGTTGCTCATTGCTGTCGTTGCTCATTGCTTTCGTTGCTCATTGCTGTCGTTGCTCATTGCTTTCGTTGCTCATTGCTGTCGTTGCTCGTTGGGCGGCTGTTAGAACGAAGTTGCCCTTGCCCTTCAACATCGCCGACCTTTCGGCCGATCGGCGGAGTTGAAGCGTAATTGCTACGATGCATCCGGGATATCCGGTTGGCCTTAATTGTGAGGATCTTTGGCATTAGAAATGGTGGGGGCGAGAGTAAGGAGAAAAGTTTCTGGTTTCTTTCCATATCTCGGCATCCTCTGGGGTAAAAGGAGAAAAAAACACCCACGCATTGCATATGGAGGAAGATCCCTTTATGTTCTCAATATCTTCCTTCTTCCTTTCCTTTTCCTCCTTCCTTTCTTTTTCCTTTTTCCTTTTCCTTTTCCTTTTCCTTTTCCTTTACTTTTTCCTTCTTCCTTTGCCTGTCTCCGTTCTTTTCTTTCGCCTTCATACGCTTACTCATCGGAACCCGCAAGAGCATTTAGCGTTCACAATACCTTCTCTTGCCTGTCGATTCCATTGGATCTGTAACTTCACGGATCTGTCTCGTTTGGAGACCGGTTTCCTCGTGGTTTCTGTCTCATAGCGTGATAAAACGGTTTTCTTAAGGTCTCGCAGCTCACCGACGAAGATAAGATCGGAAAGGATGGAAACGTTTCTTCCTCATCGGAATTTAAATCTCGGTCTTTCGACCGGGGAGCACAACGACACGACCGGATGTTTGGAGAGGAAATGTTTTTTTCCCGCGCAGATGTCATGCGATCGTGGTCAATATTTTCCTGGACACGGAGCCTTTTCCCCCGACACGAATGCGAAAGCGTCGCTCGCCGCAATCGAGGACGAGACGGACCCGGACCGACATGCAAACGGGTCGTTCCCTGCGTGCCGTGCATCCGACCCATCCGTTAACCCGACCGAGGAATGGCCGTCTCGAGGAAAACATGGAAGAAACGAATTCGCGAGTACATGTACCGGGTACGTGTGCTTGGGTGCATGTGCTGGGTGCATGTGCTGCACTCTCGGTCGAAAGGGTTCGCGATTTGACCGTTTCGGGATTTATATACCTGACTCAGGCACCAATATCATTTTCTTCCCACTTTTTCTTCCTTTCCAAGTAATGATCTCTTTCTATTTCTGACGTAGCTAGAAATTGAAGTTTTTGTTTTTCATCACGATAGGATTAGAATTTATTTTCCACTAAATGAGTCCCTCAATCATGGGTTTAACGAGGGAGGGGGGGATTGGAAGTTCTAATGCAAAACGCAATTTGCAAACTCTTGTGATTGTGATATTTTAGCCATAC